GAGGGCGTGCGAGGTGAGATACGAAAAGAGAAGAGAGTAATGCAAGAGAGGGAGAAGCAAGTTTTACACTGAAGTTATAAGACAGAGAAGGATAGTAAGAAAAAGATAGAGAACGATTGCCAAATAAAGCTTGCACTCGAGGAAAATTTCTTGCCGTCGTTGCTCACCTGTGCGAGAGCATGGAGTGAGACGAAAAAGAATAGCTGAATGATAACAATTTCCAAGAAAAGTTGTATGCGTACAGTAGAAAAGGTCATTGGGAGGGGGAGGGGGGAGGGGGAAAAATGGAGACTCGTATTTTTATTAACTTTTTTTAGTCTTCCCTCTTCAATAATCATCGTAACACGTCGTGGAAAAACATCCACGTGGATGCGACGATGATGTACATTGTCGAGGGTGTGCGCACGAGCAAAAGAGACACAAATAAAGATAGAAAGAGGAAGAGTACTCACGAGGATGGGCGACGTGACGAGGTTATATATGCTTCTTTTCTCCTTACTCTTCTTTCTCCACCTCCTCCTCCGCTGCCGCCTCCGCCACCGCCTCCGCCGTCGCTGCCGCCTCTTCCTCTTCCTCTTCCTCTTCCTCCTCCTCCTCTTCCTCCTCCTCCTCCTCCTCCTCCTCCTCCTCCTCCGCCACCTTTTTCACTTTTCTCTTTCTCTCTCTCTTTCTAACCGGCGACGGGCAGCATGATGATTTTTCCTATCACACTTACACCAGAATCAGAGGCGCATAGTTTTCTTCCTCTTCTTCCTTAACTTATTATTCTTTTTCTTCACACTACACTATCGTAATACACGGCTACGACGAAGGATGAACCGAACCTCTCGTGTCCCGTTGTTGTCCTACGCTCGACGACCGTCGAACGTTTACGACGATACGAGACAAGAGAAGAGAAGAGACGGCGACACACTAGACGAGAGTCGAAAGAGCGAGAGAACGTAAAAATAAACCGTGACACTATAAATACGATCGATGGAAATCGGAGGACGAGGAATTTCGCCGCCTCCTCGCACTCTGGCCGTCGACGTGCATCTGCGAATTTTTGGACTCCTGATGCCTGTGTGTGCGAACGGGGACTGCTGTATACGTACACCGTGGGCTGGGATCCGTGTGCGTGCTCGCGCGCTCAGAACGCATGAGCTACGACAACAAGAGAGCAAGAGAGAAGGAAGGAAAAACTTTCAAGAATAATATATAACTTCTGTGCTCTGTCTTTTTCTTTTTCTATCTTCATTTTCTCCTTAAAGCTGACACTCCAATGGCACACTTTCTATAGTTGGCTTTATTTTGCAATAATACGGTTAATCGACGATTACTACTTCGTTATATAATATTAATAATATAATGATAATTGTTTCTTGACCGATTTAGGCGTACTGGCAAATAAATTTACATAACTACATACTTGAGGGTTTCAGTTTATGCTTTAAGACAGTCTTTTTATATAAAGCAGCTAGTTGTTCTTTTCGGTATATTAAAATCTTTGACGAGTTAATAATTAAGCAACGGAAATCAAATGTATGAAAAGAATTAATTTCATTCGTATTACCAGTTAAATACTTTTAAGCACATTATTATTGTTATTGCCGTTATTGTTCTTATTATTGTTATTGTTATCGTCGCTGTTGTTGTTGTTGTTGTTGTTGTTGTTGTTGTTGTTATTATTATTATTATTATTAACTGGTAGACTATGCGGATTGATATACAACGGAATCATTTAATATATAGTTTAAGGTAAAACAAAAATTGTTTAAGTTTATTAAACTTATACTGTTGTAAATGTAGCCTAAGGTTAGAATATGGGGGTTGAAAGAATTTTATATTTATAAGTTAATCATTAAAGTAAAAAATAATAAATTAAAATCGATGTAATCATGAAGAAAGATGTCTGCTAATATTATATTAATTTTATTGTACAGCTCGTAAGATTGAATTTTTCATGGAAAAAAAAAACAACAACGTTTCAGCTTAACATCGACAACAGTATTAATAATTATTATACTTTGAAAATAAGTAAAAGTTTTATTAAAAATTGTCAATCATAACAAGTGCTTGATAGCGCAATAATATACGTGAACGATTTGTTTAATTTAATCTTCTATTAAACTTTGATTCGACAATAAACTCCCAGATCGTTCTAATAATCGGCCTACATCATTATAAGATAAGATTTGAAATCAATATCTTGCAGACTAATTGAAGTTTATTCGTTATTTCAAGAATGTAATCAAGGAAATAATTATAATATTGTACTTTCCTTTCGATATTACAATTATGTAAGAGCTAGTGTGTTTAAAGCAATAACTAAGCAGCAAAATTATTGAAAAAGAATTGATAAGAATGTGAAATACGTTACAACGAAAATATTATTACAACGCTGATATTTACGACTTAATTGTATTTAATTTTCCTATCTTTATGTTTCGAGAGTATCTCGAAAATAAATTCAAATACTAATAATACTTGGTATATCGACTTGATATCCTAATACTTGAAATACCGACATTTTTTTTTTTTTTTTAATATCACGATGAATTTCATCAAATAATGAAAACTGTTCTATATGCTGGGAATAATCGCCGTGGATGAAGGCCAATTTGTCATCGGTATGTGCCGGAATACGAATAAAATTTAACCGAATAAAGTGAAAAAGTTTGCGATCAAAATTGAATTTAACGTGCAAAAGAGTAAAAGAAAAATTTTAATCGATCGACTTGCCAATCTACGATCTGACCGATAAAATACAATAATACATTCAATTAATCGATCCTTAATTAAATAAAAATAAAATTTTTATGAACTTATAGTATAAAAATAACTCCAATCTCGATTAGCAAATTTTATATTATAAAGTTTTAAGTAATAATATTTTTAATTTACCTATTGTTAGAATTAATTAATTTGATTTTTATCGTAAATCTAATAAAAAAAATTTAAACTATATTGTTTGAAAGTGTTCATTCGATCCGCCAGAAACGAATTAGTGTCAATACGGCATTTTAACAATGCTTTCGTGCTTTTATTTAATGCAAGCATGTGTTTTTTGTTAAATGAAAGACACCGATCCATAAAAATTAGAAACTTGTCATTCAGTCATTCGCTAATGCTATCAGTATATTTTAAATATAATAATTACTATGATAAAATCTTCTTTATATTATGCATTTAATTAATAAATATAAATTCGTGAAAGCGAATAAGCATATGCTTACTTTATTATGATATATTTTGAATTGTTTCAAATGAAATATTATTATTTTTGTTTGTTAATATTAGAATCTATTTTATCGATAGAGAATTGAACGGTAACAATTTTATAACCTATGACATAATTCAAAACAAAACACGAAGCAATATTATTTTAATGTTTATTTAATTGTAATATCATGACAATTTAATGGCATTTAAATTCAGTTTCCCTTATTTCAGTTCAATGATATGGACGTATTTATATTGTTATAATGAATTTAATATTGTTTAAAGATATTTTGGCGAGCTCCGCATCAATATGTACTATTATTTAATTTTTAGCAGGAAAGTAAATAAATTTTAAATTCAACAAGTATAAACGTAATTATTCTAACATGTAAATAAAATATACGTACATGAAACTTAATTTTTTCTAGGTTAGTTTGCAAAAAATTTATCAAAAACAAATCAACCGGAGATACATCTGGATTAGCATTTGTTACTTGTTTTATGTCGTAAGTTCAATCATTCTATTGTTGTCATTGGAATATTTATTAATATTATTTTTGTAGATGCAGTTTATGGTTCTTATATGGAATGTTGATTCATGATAAATTTGTAATGATCGTTAATTTTTTTGGAACGTCATTACAATTTTTTTATACCTTGATATATTACATTTATACTATCAAAAAGAAAATTATAGTAAAACAGATATTATTTGCATTAGGATTTACTAGTATTATGTACTTATATTGGTATATTGCAACAGATGTTACAATTGTTATAAGACAAATTGGTTTTATTAGTTGTGCATTAACAATTTTATTCTTTGCTTCTCCATTAACAATGCTTGTAAGTTTTGAAACAACTTTTACAAATAATTTTTTGTACAAAAATTTAATTATTAAATTAATATACAACATTCGTATAATAATTATATTCTTAATCAGATTTTTTTAAAATATTTATATTTTGAATATATATTTTTAAATCGATTAAATTAATTATAATTTGATTAGCAAATGGTTAAATATAGTACTAACAATTTTATAATTTATTAACGTTTAATAAAAATAATAATCGAAATAATTGATATTCTTTGTGTTTTTTGTAGGCTCATGTTATCAAAGTAAAAAGTGCCGAAAGTTTACCATTTCCTGTGATTGTAGCTTCTTTTATAACATCATGCCAATGGCTCTTATATGGATACATCATCAATGATTTATTCATTCAAACACCAAATTTTCTTGGATGCATTCTAAGCGGATTTCAACTTACGTTATTCATCATGTATCCGAAAAAAAAATCAAATGAATTATTAACAAATAAGAAAACAGCTCTATTGTTATAATATTTTTTTAAAAATTTATATATTAAACAAAAATATTTTTTACTTAAAAGAGTGTTTGCAATGTTTATAAACGTAAAATCTTGCAAATTTGTGATGCCTAGTATTTAAGAAAAAATGAATATTTTTGACATACTGAAGATGTAGATTACCAAAACAATGAATGAAATAAAGAATTATATATGTTTATACAATTAATTATAAGAATTTACTTTAATTATAAAAATTAAATTACTTATTTTACATTAATATGATTTCCATTACGATTTCTAAACATAATTCTACTGTAATTCAGGTGAAAAAAAAAATTTGCAATCATAATACATTATTTGTATAATAATTATTAAAAGAAATAAAACAAAATGTACATAATGTTTAAGAATTTCTAAATTTGAATATCAAATAGGAAAAAAATTTATTATTAAATTAAAAAAACTAAGTATTAAATTTTTTACCATTTAATAGAATTATTATAGTGTTAAATAGAAATTTTAACAATAAAATGTAATTTTTCACAATGTTCGATTAAATTTTATTAAATTTGAGATGAAAAATTTATTTAATAGAAGCAAGTATTTCACAAACAATACTTAGTACTTTTCTTATTACTATGATGAATAAATTTCAATTATTATTAATTAATCGATGAAAAAACTTAACTGAAAAAAAAGGTGAATTTAAAATTACAATTTTTAAAAACATACTCGTCACGATAATATTTTAGTTAAGTCATCGTTAAAATTATTTTTATGTAATGTGTCGGAAACGCACACGTTCGATATTATTATTATACACTCAATAATACATTGTTGGGACACTCAATATATTTTTAGTAATAATGCTTTGAATTTTGTGTATTCTTACACGTACTATTACTTAAATTAAATAATATTTTTAAATTTCATTCCTTCTATTTTTAGGGTTGACATTAATGTGACATCAACGTTCATCGTTATGCTGTAACACACACCTAAGCACACACGCGAGGCGCCCAGTGTGTGCGTTTCAATTTTTGTTGTACATAATCATAAAAACTCTATCGATAATCTAGTAAAAATTCCCGCGATTAATCCGCAGACGTGATTATGTACATTATGTACGATTGTAATTTGTTTTACATTGCAATGAAATGGATGCTTGAGTGAAAAAGTAGGCTAAGAGCTTATTCTATATGTTATCCACGTGGAAAGGTTACTTAAGAATGCTGTTATTGCATTTAAAACGAAAAATTTAATAATTTTTCACTTCTGTTTGAATTCTAACCCCATTTAATATTTATTTGTTTTAATTGTTAATAGTTCGATATACATACGTAATTATCGCAAAAGTTTTACAATTGCGCCGTATTCGTCAAGATGCTTGAAGGTCTCGTTGCCTGGGTGTTAAATAATTACCTGGGCAAGTATGTCGAGAACCTTAATACAGATCAATTAAGCATTGCACTCTTGTCAGGTACAAAGTTTTGAAAGACGTATATTTATTCATTATACCACTTTAATTTTATATTCGTACGTGTGTCGATAATTCAATTTAATATTGGCCTTGTTAAAATAGATACATAGCTATGTTTTCATTAATGCTGAATAATTTCATAATTAAAATTATAGTTTGATATTTGTGTTTAATTTTATGGTCTTGCACTAAGATTTCAATTAAATGCTTCATTCATAATGATTAAAGAATAAATTCGTTATAATTGCAAATATTTAAAAGTATCTCTAATAGTTAACTATAATAATAATTCATATTAAATAAAAACGTGCGTGTCACTGTATAACTTATATCATTCGTATTCTATAAGGAATATAAATTTCAAATAAATGTATTATTCAGATTAGAAAATTATAGAAATTTATAATAAAATTTGATTTTTGTTCAAATATAAATACTAGGTCCGGCTATATTGTTTTTACTTTTATTTTATTTCTATCAATAGATTTGTTGATGATACTAGTAATAGAATTATAATTTTATTTTTGAAATTGTTAACGACATGCAACCAATTGAAATAAAGAAATTGAAAAGTTTTTATTGTAATTTGATTTTTTTTTTTTTTTTTTTTTTTTTTTTTTTTTTTGTTGTTTGTTTAGTTTTGTATTATGTTTTTATTGAATTATTATAGATGTTTTCTTATAAAGGAAATATATTTATTTGGAGTAATATTGTATATACAATAAGTTACTCGATGCTTTCAGGGGCAGTTGAACTTGAAAATCTACCTCTGAAACGCGAAGCCTTAAGGCATATTGGATTACCTGTTGAAATAAAAGCTGGTTTTATCGGTAAAGTTCGATTACAAATTCCTGTTACTCAAATAAGAACAGCATCATGGGTTATAGGTATAGAGCAATTGTATTTGGTTACTGGACCTATAAATTTAGACGAGGTAATTTTTATTCATTGAATAATATAATTACATTTGTTTAAATGATTTTTTCAATATAATATTGATTCAATTAATTTTCTAGTACGACAGCGAGGCAGAGGAGCATGCAATAGTTGACTATAAATTAAGTCGCCTTGAAGCTTTAGAAGCCAGATGGCGAGCAGAATCAGAACAAGGTCCTGGATATTATGCTACTAGTTATAGTACATGGGTAAATTATGGTACTTCTTTAGTCACAAATATTATAGAAAATTTACAGCTCAATATTAAAGACGTTCATTTACGTTATGAAGATACGGTAACGCTTCCCAATGGTTTGTATAAGATATGTTTCATTAATATTTTAAAATTAATAAGAAACTTCAACATAATTTATTTTCTATTGTAATTATTATGTAAGCACTCTATAAATTTTATATAATATTTTTAAAGGAAATGGGATAGTTTTGGGAGTTACAATCGGTGGCTTAACAGCTCAAAGCTGTGATGCAAGTTGGATTCCCGGATCTACTTCATGGAATTTAACCGATGCATCTTTTAAGTTAATGGAACTAGATGGTCTTTCTGTATATTGGAACGAGATGAAGAAAGAGAAAATGTTTCATAATTTAAGTCTTGGAGATTTGGCTGTAAATACATCTTTAATATATCAATCGTCTATTATCTACATATTAAGTTCATATAATAATAAATTATATTTTTAGATTGCTATGAGCGAAGTGAAAAAGCAAAACAGATGCTACATTCTTTTACCAGTCAGTGCCAAAGCTCATGTAAAACGCGACAGATCAGAAAGACCTTTGCGTTCATCAAATAAACCTAGATTAGTATTAGATCTCTCTTTAGATAAAGTACCATTATCAATTACAGATGTATGTTTATAATTATATAATTATATAATGCATTTGAATTTTTATTTAAATTATATTTTTTCTAAAATATTAAATTCATTTTCGTTTGAATCTGTATATATATTTATATATATATATATATACACACTCGCATATATAAATTAATATTTTGTCAAAATTAATAGAATTAAAGGATTAAATTATTTACTATAATTATTCTCGTTACATTATTGTCTATATTTACGTGACTGTTTAAGTAAAATTATTTTTATTAAGGAAATATTATGTATTATATATATACGTATGTGAATATTTCACCATATGTCTAATTAAAAATATAAGACTGTAATATAAATTTTAAAATGCATATTGGTTTATTCTGAATTATACGTGCATTTGGATGTTATAAAGCAATAACTTATTAGCCATCTAATACTTTTAGGTGCAATATGAACAAATTGTAAAATGTATCAAAGGATTAGATGAAATCGACAGGCAACGACGGCAAAGAAGGTGCCGACCTCATGCACCTATAAATGAAGCTCCAAAAGAATGGTGGCGGTATGCAGCTCGATGTTACATTGGCAGAAAAACTTTTGCTCTGAAAAAGACTTGGGAAGATATTCTCAAGCTTGGGAAAAATAATATTACATACGTAGACACTTGTGCAAAATTATTATCAAATCCAACACTAAGTCTGCCGCCAGATATAAAAAAATTAAAAGACCAAATGGAGATCGATCTGAGTTTTGATGAACTGAGAGTTTTACGAGAATTAGGTAATTATCTGAGAAATTTAATTTAATTTATAGTAACGATCGTGGCTTCTTGATTTTACTAATAGTGTAAAACGTAAAGGTATCTTGTAAAAAATACAACAAAAATAAATAAATAAATAAACGAACGATGGACAGTTTCTTATAATCAAATATTAAGGAATTCGAATTTAGATCTATTTTGTAAAATAGCATACTTTTTAATTACAAAATTTAATCATCTTTGCAGCAATGATGAAAGTAAGACCGCCAAAACTTCCGCAAAACGTATCAAATAATTCAACGTCGCCACAAGCTCAGGGTATGCTCTTACAATGGTTCCCACAGTGGTGGGGCTGGCAATCCTCTAAAACAAGCAATAACAGTACCTCATCGGCAACGGGCTCCTCGACCTTTGATGGAGAGCTATTGGATGTACTGGCAGACACCATTGACGATGATACTCTCCTAAGGCGCGATACTGTATTTGGCCTCTTTAACTTTGCTCTGTCTAAGGGTGCAATATCGCTTTGTACTGTTTTGAAAGATCAGTCTGGTAGGATAATTTATTTAAAGTCTCTTTAGAAATACATTTTGTCATCTTAAAATGATTGATTAGTTATTAAAAAATTAAGTAATTATATTTTATGTGCTGATTCATTCGTAGGGACAAAACCTGTTGAAACTAAGACAATAATGGAATTGCAGTTCGAACGCGTTCATTTAAGTTACGAATCACGGCCACGTTCGGGCTCTCACAAGTTCTCCATAAGTCTTGGTGCTCTCTATATGCACGACCACTTTACCGAAAATTCAACTTTCCCAATCCTCATTCAACCTCAAACAATCGGCTCTAATGGTTCGTCCTTCTCACGCTCACGCAACTCCACTGAGAGGCTGACTGTGCAAATGACTCAATCGCTCTTTGAGCTCGTCTACGAGAAAAGACCGTTACACATGAATGTTGATCATTTGCTACACGTCGCCTCCCGTTCCCTGGACATCGTTTACAATCCGCTGGCCATGCGCTGGCTGTTGGATTTCGTGTGCGAGCCCCATAGATCCGACAGCTCTAACAATCAACGTCTCCAAGCAATGAAGCGCAGGACGAGGCGTCAGCTCATGAAAAATTGGGAACAAATACTTGAGGGCGACTCGACTTATCGATCCTCCTGGGATCTAAGGTTCAATATCTCGGCGCCGCAAATTCTCCTAGTCGAAAAATTTACCGATACGAATGCGGCTGTGGTCGTCGTCGATTTCGGTCGTTTGCACTTATCGAACAACATGAACACGAGCCTGGCAGATCTAAGTGCCCAAAATCCCATGTCGTCGACGAGCGACATTGACCAGTCGATTGACGGCGATGAGGATAACGAGGATGACGAAGACGAAAGATTCGAAACTCCTTGTTCAACGCCACCCGGTAGCCAAGAAAATGGCTCCGTGCACGATCTACAACAAGGCTTGTCCGAGTCTGCACTTCACAAAAAGCTCTACGATCATTATAGCGTCGACCTTGCTGATCTTCAGATTCTCGTCTGTAAGGTCAAAGATAACTGGAAGCACGCAAGAACAAGAGGCATGTCCAGTCTCCACGTATTAGAAAGGTTCGTTCGAATTAATTTATTCAATGTAATATGTGAGATAGTTTGTAAAGGTCCACTCGATTTCAATTGAGTTTCTTGTAAATAATACGAAGTTGGGATCATTCATCGTTAATAAAATGTAAATCACTCATGCCATTTTCATCTTCTTGCAGATTTAATATATCGTTACAAATCGAAAGAAGAATTGTCACTACTAACGATCCGCATTTCCCCTCGGTAACAATTTCGGGTAATTTACCTAGGCTCGTAGTTCATGTTAACGAGCAGAAAGTTGAATCTATAAGGTCGATGTATCACTTACTATGGAGTTTATCGAGCAACTCGCCTATTTTTACGAAAGCCAATGGAATATATCCGAACGAGGAACTCGAAAGCCCAAAGAAAGAGGAGAGCACGGATAGAACATTAAATCACGCGATGATGATTCAATTTATCATTGATCAGATGACATTCGAGCTGCAATCAAGAGGCAGGAGTGTCGCCGAGCTTCAGGTTGTTGACATTCCTTATCACTAATTTTTTGTATCTACACTCTGTAGAATCATGTGAATTCTTCTCGTTTCACTTGATTTGGAAAATAATATTCAAATGTACACACTTTATTGAAAATTTATATTTATGTATTTGATCTTATGTAAATGAATAATGCACAGGTTTCGGGAGTACGAGCAGCCTTGAGTAAGCGTCCGGCTGATTTGAGCGCGTCGCTGTCGGTGCACGGTCTCCTGCTGGTAGATGCACTTCAAGAATTTGGGCCCGATTTCGAGCTCCTAGTAGCCAGTCATAAACATGTTGGAATGGATAGTGTTTCGGGTAGTCTGCGAGACTCGGAGCCGACTTCGCCAACTTCGCCCATTTCTCCAGATTCCTCCGATCCAACTCTGTCCGTACGTCATACCTCTCCGGTTGCTATCTCACATGCTTTATTCAATCTTGCGCATCACGATACGAAGAATCAAATTGGAGCAAGAGACGCGCCGCCACCCAGTATAGATCATCTCGATTCGGAAGCTCTTATCGTCGTCGAAGTTATGTTCATCGACGAGCCTCTCGAAAGTCTCCGAGTCGCTAATATACAATTCAATAATCTTGATATTATCGCGAATCAGGAGACCATTGTTGAACTCATGGGATTCGCGAGGAGACTCTTTCCATTGAAAAAGAGTAAATCTAGGAGAATGGAGAGATACGAATCGATGACAAGTTTAACGTCCGAGAGCAAACCCACGAGAACGGAAATTACCTTTGACTTTTACCGACTCAATGTATTACTGCTGAGAGCCGTTATGCAGAATAGTCATCTGGTACGTGTTATATATCTTATAAATCGCAATGAATAAAATTGATTTTATTCATCCATTCGCAAAAAGTTTTAGAATTAAAAGCAGCATCTCATCGCCGTTTACGATAAAAGATGCCATTTTGTTTGACTATGCTAATTTACAATGTTAATTATTTTATTATTGTTGCTTGAAAATTTGTCAATACATTAGCAAAGAATAATCGTGCATGTTCCCCAATATAATTAGTGAAAAAGAAAAAAAAAATGAGAAAAAGAAATTGAATCAACAGAATGTGGCTCGTTATGTTTTCAATAATCGACTACTCCCCAATATAATATTCCTCCGGCATAATAATTTTATAATGAAAAAACATTCATTAGCGTATCAATTGTTTCATCGGTAAAAGGTAAATATTCATTGAATTTCCTATTGGACTCGCAAATACGTAGGTGGGTCAGAAAATCGCAACAGCAACCATGACGGATGCACGAATCCAGGCGACCCTCGCATCGGACAATTCAATCTCAGGTTCGTTAGGCGGGCTGCAGATCCTCGATCAGACGCTCATCGGCAAGACCCATCAACGTATAATCAGCGTCGGTCGCGATCCTCTGGCCGAGCCGTATTGTGGCAGCCATCACAACCACCATAACCACCAGCACCATCATCATAATTACAACCACAATCACAACCACAACCACAATCACAATCACAATCACAATCACAATCACAATAACCACCATTATCAGAGCCAACAGTTCAGCTCGGCTGACCAGCCCGAAGCATTTCGTTTTCTCGCGAGTCGCAGCTGTCGGCAAAATTTGGACGTCGACGGCACGGAGACCCTGGTCGACATTAGCATGCGCATCGGCAGCGTCTGGTACACGCACGCGCCCCATCTAATTTCCGAGCTCCGCTCCTGCGCCGATGAATTCAAGCAGTATCTCAGTAATGTTGCACGGCAAATCGGCGCTGCGGCCACGGACATGGCGATCGGTCTCGTGAACGCCGAGGACTGGTCGATGCCACAGCGCAAGCGGCTCCCGAGCTTCTCTCTGGACGGCGTCGAGGCTCCGGCCAATCTCTTCCTCAAGCTCGACCTAGTGCTGGACAGTCCGGTTATAGTCATACCAAGGTCCTCCCAAAGCGCCCAGGTCTTCGTGGCTCATCTGGGCACCATGTCCCTCCAACATGAGCCGCCAGCATCCGGCTCCACCCGACAGAAGATCAACCTCGAGGTCAAGGATATGAATTTGCACTCTCTCGATGTTACGGAGAGGATTCACGAGGTGAGTGGCATTTTTTTTTTTTTTTTTTTTTTTTTTTTTTTTTTTAAT